TAAAAGAACAACTGCCGCAATATCAAAATAATCTTATTATCTGATGAAATAAAGAACTCTAAAAATAACTTAGAAATATGTTTACAACAGCAAACGTATCAAAATAAATTAAACAATATTAAAAAATAAGCAAGCAAAAATATCGAAGTTAATTAGATATATAGGTTAAGAATGGTTAAGTTTAAGGGAATTTATTTATAAATTTTATTTGATTCTAAATATAAACTGTTTAGAGATTTTTCGTCTGTCGGTCATGAGTGTTATCGTAGTGTGATGGCTATACTGTCTCGGCCGAATCGCTGTGGCTGCAAACATGCAGGGTCACATTATTATGTACGGCTACAGTGATTATTGATGCAGTTTTAATTAAAAGCATGAACCTGTTTAAAAGTTTTCCTTTTTGCGTTCCCGAAGAAGTGTTTTTTATACAAAAATTATCAAATGGCTTTTCACATCGAGATAGTTTCGGTAATCTGTTCAATCTGAGAATCAGCAAAGAATTCAAATTAATGTTAAAATCCCGGATGATGGAAATACTGATTCTGATTTATGCAGAGATATATGTTTTTGTACACGATGAATTCAGATTTCCCTGGTTAAAAAATACCGAGGGTGAACGCTTTGTCGGGCCGATTAAAAATTTAGCATTAAATTAGAGCCAGTGGAAACTCAATCGGTGACTAAAATACCGATCAAGCAATGTACTGTAAACCTTTTAAAAAATATTCCTGAACTTTGCATACGAACCGGCATATGTACGTAGTACATTAAATTATAAGAATAAAAAAGTTTAATAAAATGCAGAAAAAATATAAAAAAAAAATATAAAGTTTTAACTAAAACATTTTAAAATTTAAAGACTATTTCGTTTGAACTGTTTTTATTCATTGACTCGGTGTGTATCTCTTTCTCGACTTTATTATATAACCCTGCTTTTGGGTATTTTCAGTTGTGCTTATTTATTTATTTCAGTTGAATAACAGAGGCTATTTTTTATTCTTCTGTTTTACTGTTAATTTTATTTTACTTCTGGACGAGCAGCAGATCGGTCTGTCGTCTAAAGGCTGGTGCGGGACGAGCGCGGCGGCGGCGGACAACTGGGTGTTAGTGGACCTGAACGCGCCCAAAGTGGTCAGCGCCGTGCGCATCCTGCCCGTGTCCGGCAACGGCCGTCTCCTGGCCAGCGTGCGCGCCTTCACCTTCGCCTTCAAACTGCATGATAACGACTCCTTCACTCCCTATACTGAACCCAACGGCAACGCGTTGCAGCTGCCGGCCAGTGCTGATTTTTCAGCCGATTTTTCTGATCTTATTTGCGCCAAATTTCCACGGTGACATTCATTATGAATTTGCGGTGTATGGGGAGCGTAGTGTTGTCGTAGAGTAGTGGCGATCATTTACCGGAGCGTTGTGGATTGTTCGAATACAGCCACGCAAAAGTGATTAAGTAACTGGCGGCTGTATAGTGTATATCGCATAAACGGAAATTTTTTCGCAACATTTTTTTAATGTGCTGGTTGGAGTTCAGGAATGGAGTCACGAAAAAATAATCATATTTTTCTGTTATTATATTTTGGAATATGATGTTATCATTTTTGAATAATATAATAATTGGATTTCACCATGATATTAATTTTGATTCTTTAATATTTTAATAACTTTAATAATTTTAAAAATATTTTTAGTTATTCATTACGATGCGTTTACCAGTGTGACCTTTTGAATGTCTAAGGCTTTTAACTTTGAAGTAGAATTATCGCGATCGCAGTGCGTCCATGGTATTCTGGCTTTCTACTAGTACTCTAATGCGTCGTACTTAAAACTCCTTTTGATATCGTTTTAAACACCCATTTCTTAGAATTTCTTGCAAGTTTACTGAGATCGTAGTATAGTGGCAGCTTTGTATTTTACCTTGCAACAGAGTTAACTTATTGCAACATATACCCAGATGATTCTGTAGAGCATTCTGATTAGTTGACAATTTTTATCGGTCATCATGGAGTGACCTTTTTGCATCGCAGGTTTTCTTGACCTCCACCAGCGGGACGCATTTGCCGGCGCCGGTGGAAGCCCGCTTCGTCCGCATCGCCCTGGCGGATTTCTACGGCGCGCCGTGCATGCGAATGGACCTGATTGGCTGCTGGAAGAAGCGCTGCTTCGACGTCAACGAGTGCGCGGAGAATAACGGCGGGTGTGACCAGATCTGCATCAACACACCCGGATCGTACCACTGCGAGTGCAACGACGGCTTCCAGTTGTTTTCCCACAGCCGGACCAGTGCGTTCACCATTCCGGCCGCCGAAACGGGAACGCGAGATGGTTTGCAATATTTCTATATATTTTTTTTAACGGACATGAATCGGCGAATGCTCCATATTTTATTCACGATAGGAAAGACGATTAAGAGTGGGTGCGATACGTAAAGTAGTAGACTGCGGCCGCCCTCCCGTCCTCCCGGGCTCTTTCTACTCGAACCTGTCCAATCGACGACGTACGTCACGCTCTTCCGCGCTTCGCCTGCGTCTTCCCCTTCTCGTTAGCCGTGGAGAGCAGCAACCGCGACGACCAAGTCCGCTGCAGCCGATCCGGCGTCTGGGACTGCGGGAGCCTCCGCTGCGACGGCCCCGCCTGCGCCGACCCGGGCGCGCCCACCTTCGGCTCCCAAACAGCCACCACCTCCTTCGAGGAGCTCGCTTCGGTCCGCTTCCAGTGCGACCGTCCCGGGTACGCGCTCTCGTCCACCGCGCCCCTCCTCTGCGTCCGCCAGACGGAGTGCCCTCTCCCGCGGGCGCTGACCATCCCGCCGGACGCCGTCAAGGCCACCTCGGAGATGCCGGGCTTCGAAGCCGGGCAAATCGGGTTCAACTCCTTGACGGGGTGGTGCGCGTTGGCTGAAAACACCACCTATGGGGAGATGAATCTCGGTGGGCTGTTCATGGTCACCGGGATCCGGGCCTCCGAAGTTTGTTTCGTGTCCGGATAAGCCGGTGCAGGTGCGACGCCTGGCGGACGGACGCATGCCGGGCGTGCAGTACGAGATCCCGCGGGCGGCGGACAACAGCCACCGCATGGCCCGCATCGAGACGCGCCCGGCGGACTTCCTGCCGGGTCGCGTCTTTTTGAGGATATGACCGTGGAGTATGTGGCCTTCGACGGCGATGAGAACAAAGCTTCCTGCACGGCGCAGGTCAGTCAAAACATTTAACAGGCAACAACGCTGTTACATTTAATTTAATTTTTTTCTTCAAACGAAGTGATGGGATGCCTAGAGTAGTCATTAATTTGTGAGCTCGTTATATTCTTACTGTGCCTTAGTACTACGATACAGCTGCAGTTGCACTGTACACAGCTTATTTTTCGTTGACAGTAACCGTGTAACGTCAGCTGACAATCATTAATACACCGGTTACACCCGGTAGAAACACAGCAACGATCAGGAATTCAAAAATGTTTCTAACTGCAGAGTGCAGATGCACATTTCAAAAGCATATAAATCTTCTGGTATGTTGGAAAGTGTGATAATGGAGAGGAATGCCGTTGGAAATTTTATGAACTGCAGGCACTGGCATGTGGCTAGATGGTCTCAATTTGTGGCAGTGTGCTTCTGGCGGAAGATCTGCAATCATTCTGACTTTACGATCTGTGATCAAAATACAGCTTACGGTATTAAAACGAGTAAACATCGCTTTTGCGGGATGGATTAAAGGTCACAGACGTAGCCGTGTAAAGATACGGGCCTAACAAATCTCTGAATTATTTCAAAAAAACCAAGTATACAAGAAAAATGCTGTAAACCGGATTTTTGCGTAGATCGAGATCGTTGAGGAGGAGCCGGCGCTGATTAGCTGCCCGCTGTCCTGCACTTCGACGCCACCAGCCACCCGGTGGAGGTGGTCGGACGTCTGCGCCACCTGCAGCTCCTCTATTTCCCCGACCGCGCCCGGCTCCCCGCCCACGCCTTCCTCAACGTCACCGTGGTGGCCTCCGACCCCGCCCAGTCCACGAACACCACCGCCTGCAGCTTCCAGGTCGCCGCGCTCCCGGCGCCCTGCACCGACGGCCCGGCGGTGGTCCCATTAAACGGGGCTACGGACTGCCGCTCCACCGAGGAGGAGACCGTCTGCAGCGTCACCTGCAACCCCGGCTTCACCTTCTTCGCCGGTCTTCCGGGTCCCCGGGAGGCCCGATGCCGCAACGGCGCGTGGGCGTCCACCGGGAACGTCTCGCTCGCCGTTTGTGTCCCCGCGGAGGGGCACGACGCGGTGTACGACTCCATCACCCGCATCCTGTACGTCTCGCCCCTCCCGCCGTCCCCGGAGTATCTCCAGCTGTACACCGCGGCTCTATCTAACCTCCAGATGCCGGTGTCCGAGTTCCTCTCGACGAAATGCTCCAAATCCATCGACGTGGCGGTGACGGTGGCCGCGTTGTCCGCCACGCTCCTCCGCTCCAACACAGCCGCGTTGTCCGCCACGCTCCTCCCCTCCGCCACGCTCCTCCCCTCTCTGGCGCTCCAGGGAGTCCTCCGGTACCGAATCTCTCCAGCCCGCGCCCTTCCGGACTGACCATCGACACGCTCCTGGACCTCTCGGTCCCGTCGAGCGACCAGCAGATCAAAAGCCTCGCGCAGTTGGCCGATCCCGCCGGAGTGTGTCCGACGCTGGAGGCCACCGAGTCCCATGGAGACCGCGGTTTCGCGTGCCTCTCGGGACAAGTTCTCATCCGCAACGCCACCAAAATGATCTGCCTGGATTGCCCCCGGGGTTTTTATTCCGCCGACAGCGCCACCTGCCGCCAGTGTCCGCCGGGAACCTTCCAGGACGACGTCGGCCAACCGGGATGCAAAAAATGCCCGGATGGGACTTTAACCCCAGTTCCCGGCGGGAAGACTGCTGATTCCTGTCTCCCGGGGACCTAGGGGGGGACCGGGGACCTACTCCCCCAACGGCGTGATCCCGTGTCTATCGTGCCCCCAAGACACCTTCAGCCCCCGCGGGGGAATGGAGTGTCTCCCATGCCCGTCGGACACTTTCACCACCCTCCGGGGCGCGGTCAGTCCCTCCCACTGTCGCGAGCGGTGCCAGCCGGGGGAGTACTCCCTCTCCGGCACGGGACTGGCGCCCTGTGGCGGGTGCCCCGAAAACTACGTGTCGACGGCGCCGGCCAGTCGGAGGTGCTCGGAATGCCCCTTGGAGGCCACCACCGAGGGGCTGAACGCGACGGGATGCGTGCCGGTGGTGTGTCCGGGGGAGCTGTGTCAGAACGGGGGCCGCTGCGAGGTGGCCGGACACCGGGCGGTGTGCCGGTGTGTACCGGGATTCAACGGGGAGCGCTGCGAGAAGGAGGTGGATGAGTGCGAAGCGCAGCCATGTTTGAATGGCGGGAATTGTGTGGATGCGCGGAACGGGTTTGAGTGCGTCTGCCCCGCCGGATTTACTGGTTAGCCTTTATACCGAACGGCATTAATTTGTTATGATGGCTTCAGTGTAACGTATTTCGTAATTTATACTCGTATGAAAATTTGCAATATTTGATGTGAAATTTAATTACATACAGTATAGTACTGTAGGTACTGCTGATAATTTCCCGGAGTGTATTTTATTTATTTGATGCTTTAATTTATTATGTACTGTCAATTACGAACTTTGAATTCGAATAATGATTAGTATAAGAAATAACTGCGTGACTTTGATTAAGTATTAATAAAAACACTTTGGACATTTCTAACTTCGGGTACGTTTGTCTATAGTAGAAAAAAGTTACTTAGTTTAAAACTTTATTTATGCCGTCTGCTTTGTCATGGTATAATATATGGTTGACGATACATTAAAATATATCACAGCCCATACACTACGATTATCGATATTTTCTTTGTTTTATTGTTGGCTTATTGTATGCTCCATTCGCACTGAGGTATGGAAACGCTTCTTCTCAGCGCAGATGTTTTATTCAAATTTTACAGGAAATCTGAACTTCGTCCACCACGTGATTTACCAAAAGGACCATTGTTTTTCCTCAACAAAATTTTTTTTATACTACACGTAACCGGTAGATCCTCGAGAAAAAATAGGAAGAAATAATACTGAATTTAAAAACCGTAGGTGTTCAGTGTGAATTGCCGCCGGATGACTGCGCGACGGTGAGCTGTCCGAACCGCGGCATGTGCCAGAACCAGCAGCACCCTCAAATGTACGGCTGTTTATGCCGAAGCGGCTTCACCGGGCCGCACTGCAACGAGACGCTGGACCCCTGTGTGAAGACGCACTGCCTCAACGGCGGCCAGTGCCAGCACCTGCAGATGGACCGCTTCGTCTGCCACTGCCCCGAGGGATTCGAGGGGACCTTCTGCGAGAACAACATCGATGACTGCGCCGACGCGCCCTGCGCCAACGGCGGCACCTGCACCGACCTCATCCACGACTTCCGCTGCGACTGCCAACCGCGCTTCAGCGGCCGCTACTGCGAGGACGTCGGCGATCTCTGCGCCAACGCCAACTGCGTCAACGGTCAGTCCAAAAAAAGGAAAAATAATATCCGCGAAATTTGGTTTGAAAAAATGAAATTTATTTCAGTATTTTCAATTTTTTGTCTTACAGTTCTGAAAGAACTACCTATTACTGTTTACAGCACCAGTTTAAGTGGTATATAGATTTGATGTATAATATTTGATGTATAATATATATTTTGCGGTGAAATAACGGTTCTTTTTTGCGGTAAAAAATCCGATAAAATATGATTTTTTACGGGGGAATATTTGATAAAAATATAAATACTGTACGGTGTAACAGACAAGCACGAGGAGATCACGAGTGATGCTTTATTGACAAATAAAGGGGGAACAATGCTGCGTAATAGCAGGAAAGCCAGAACAAAGTACTGATGGCTAATAGCAAGCGTGTGCTAGAAAAGCTCTTGAGCGTCCGTCAAGGCGTGAAAGGAGCAACTGGCGGCCAGCACGTGCTGTGTGCCATCAGCTGTGTGATGATGCGCAGACTGGACTCTATCCAACGCGAGCGTATGAACGCTGAGTCATACTGCGAGAGAGGAACGAGAGAGCAAGTGTGGCTCAGTGTGTGCGCTGCGTATATCCGCTTCAGCGGATGAGTGCAGTGCAGCAGCACACGTACGTACAGCGAGAGAGGTGGTAACGGCAAGCAATGGTGCCAGTACGTCCTGTGTGGACCGTACGCACCAGGCGCAGTCGTACGCCTCTGACATGCCTCTGGGCGGGAATCCGAGCTCCCGCGAAGGATGCTCCGACTCGGTACCGCACCAGTACCGCACAACTCTCCGGTCGGACCCATGTGGGGTCGCCGGTACGCGTCCTCTGGCAGTGGGAGTCCGGTGTCTGGTCGACCGTCTCTTCTTCACTTCCGAACCCATGAGTGGAAGCCACTCACAGCCGAGAAATCCGGAAGCCGCTCGGGCGTTTCGTTGGACCGGTGACGCTTCTGTTGGCTGGCTTCTTGCGTCTGTTGGCAGCGGAGAACAATGTAAAAAGAAAAATGTAATGAAAGTTTATGCAGCGCGAAAGAAAGTAAATAAAGTTTAATCACAATTCCAGTGAGCAAAAGGGGTTACAAAACAGATCTGTCAAAGAGATCGAACTAGAAAAATACAATTCCGTTTGTTAGGAAAAATGTTAAAAAAATGCAAAAATCTATCCGGGGGTCCTATTCCGACTAGGATGACGTCCACGGGGTCTCCTGTCCACTTTCATCCGGTAAAGTTGGGTCCGGGGCATCGGTTCCCGGGTTACCCGTCGTAACCGGTTACATTCTCCGAGGTCGGATAAGCACGGTTAAACACTTACTTCCGACTCGTATCCGTCCGTTCGGGATAGAGAGGCACTGTTGCAGATGCAAATGCCGAGGCATCCTCTCTGAATGGGGAATAGGACCGAGGTCGGTTTGACCAAGGTCGGCCTACCGGTAAGTCGACCGGCGGCTGGGGGAAATTCGGCTATGTTCCGAATTGCTAAAGTCCAGGTCGGGAAAAGCTGTATGTAAATCATGCGGCCTGTGTGGTCGTCATGTACAGCAGTTCCGTTCAAAAAGTGGTCGGTTACAACCGTTTAATCTGCTACCACGAGCCTGGTTTAAAGTAATCCGAGTCGAGCTGGCTCGAAGGTCCGATCGGAAATCATGGGTTTGTTCGATGGAAGCGTCCAGTCGACTTCCATCCGGTATATTCCGTTGTTATCCGACCTTCTGTCGAGGTCGGTCATCCTATCCGTCGGTGGTCGACTAGGGTTAACCTGCAATAACATGCCCATGTGGGGCTAAACAAGTGCCTTCAGGTCGAATTCGTCCACCGCGAACAGCTATCAATCTTCTTCCGTCATGTTGACTGAGTTTCCGACTTCCGACTTGTAGTCGGTTATGGTCGACTTCGGGAGGTCGGATGAACTGTGTGTTCATCCGTCCGAAGGTTAAATTTCTCCGTTAGGAGGTCGGTTCTGGACTTCCTAATGGCTTGGCCGACTTGTTGTCGCATTCTTCCGACTTCTGTGGGGTCACTTCCGACCTCAACTTCAGGTCGGTTATCCATATTATCCCTATTCCAAGGTCGGCTGTATCCGACGTCGCTAGGTCGGGTGAACTTTGTGTTCATCCGCCAGAAAGCTAAGTGTTTCCACAAGGAGGTGGATTTCCTACTTCTTGCTGGTTTTTCCGACCTGTTGTCGTTTACTTCCGACCTCCGTTCGGAAACTTCCGACTTACTTTAGGAGTTCTATGCGTCCGGCTACAGTTGACCGGGTCTCCGTTGTTCGGATATCCTACGGTCAGTTCGGACTGGCAGAAGGATATTCAGCAGCACAACTCCGTTTCTCCTGTGGCTACTTTTCTGACACGAACTCTGGGTCGGATCCGAGCTGCTGTTGGCTTGTTTATCCGATTCTTCCGTTTTGTTTTGTCGCGAACCTGAGACGCCTAGCCGCTTCTGTTGGGGGTAGACGACTCACGTCCACGGGGAATTCTTCTTTGCCGGTGACGCTGGCCAATTGGCCGGTACTGTTCGAGTCAATGGCAGCACGTTCGAGGTAGTCGTGGTCACCGGTGAATCGGCTGGTTTACCCGATATCGTCCGGGGGAGACTGCGGTTGGACTCCAGGTATAGGTTCCTAGTTGAGTTCCTGTAGATCCGGGTTCAGCCGGAGAATCCGGTTAAGCTGCCACGTAACTACTACTAGCTTCCGTTCATTCTTCATGGGCGACTTCTGTTGGCCGTTATGGTCGACCTGTGTGGTCGGCCATAATGTCGATTTCAGCTCCCGAGTTTCCAAAACCAATCTTTGTGATCGGCTTGCACAACCGACCTTTGTGGTCGGTTAGAGACGCGATATCCGTTATGTCTCCAAATTATGGGTGAAGTACGGAGTCGACCTTTGTGGTCGGCTCAAGTACATGTAGTCAAATCCGAGTTTTCTTGCGCTGTTGGCAGCTCGGCCGAGGGATTTCCGCTTTTACACTGGTGAAGGCTGCTCGGCTACCCGGTTCCGAAGTTGGCCACGGGTGCTCGGCAAACATGGCGATGAACACGCAGCGACGTATTCAGCGCCACGTTAGCGTAATCCTCTCAGTCTATGCTCCGGAGTCGGTTGGCCGGAGTAATCTTCATAGCCGGTCGTGGTTAATGGCGTGGTGTAACCATGTAACTATCGGTCGGCTCCGTGTAACGCGGGTTGGGGCTTCTGTTGGCTCCAATGGTCGCAGAACGTGGTTGTCGATCTGCTATGTTAGCAGATATGGTTTGCGATCTGTTCGTGCCATGCTGGGGAACTGAGGTCGGTTTGCTCAGTTCTGTCCAGGGATTCCTCGGAAGACGTACCGGAACGGTGGAAAAAGCCGGCTTGTCAGGTCTAACCACTCATATCCGGGTCAAACCGAAGAATCCGGCCGACTTGTGTAGTCGGCACTCTGGCAAAGTCGTCGTTGACGTCCGTCGCGTACATGGTTAATCGGTTTCTGTAAAAAAACTAAAGAAAAGTGTCCATTCCGAAGTCGTTTCTCGACAGTGCAATTTATCCGCTAGGCTGTTTCTCAGTCGGGTCGGTTCTCGACCATGCCGTTTCTCGGCGTTGAGTCCTCTTAGTTGTTCCAAATGGGGGATCGGGTTCCAATGTGGGAACCCGATCTTAACTGAGTGGGACTTCGACGGGTTTGTCGCCGCCGAAGTAATCTTCTTCATCTTCATCATCCGGGCCAAATCGGTTATGTGGCCGGATAGTCGGATCCTTGGGTTTACAAGTCGCCGGGCCACTCCGTTGAGACATCTCGTCAGTCTCATCCGTTTCTTGGTTGAGGCGATCCGCTCTGCCCTTCTTCGATTCCCTGGCCGCCTGTTTGCGGAGCCGCAGCGCATACGGTCGTGCGCCGGGTGCTATGTCGTCCGACATCCAAGGTTCGTAGGGCGATGAGTTAAATCCGCTGGGCAAGGTCTTCTTCTGTCGGTACCAGCTGATGAATCTGGTCGCGTCGTCGCTGGGATCTACGTGATCCTCACGAAAGGCATACTTTGTCGCATACCGTTCGTGGGTGTACAGCAAATCGCGCATCCAGATGGCGAGGATAACACTTCTCATTGGTGTGCCGAGTTGGGCGACGAGGGTTTCCACAGCCGCTGGTATCATTTCGTTCTGGTACAGGCCGTACAGGGTGTAATGGCAAAAGTAATTGCCGAGTCGTGCTGCGAAGATGAATCGCAGGAATGCTGTGACTCCGTCCTGGGCCATATCGACTTCCCCTTCTGGAAGGTACTGGGTTAAATCCAGTGCTGCCCGAGCCGCGGTGATAACGAAGGCTGGATGTGCGTCCGTTATGACGAACTGGGCGATACTTTCCATCTCGTCATGGGGGTATTCCCGAGCTCCTAGTTGGCTCACACGCGTTCCGTCCGGGCTATACAGCGGTACGTTCAGTAAGACCGGGTCGGTCATTGACGGTAACGCATTCGATCTGGTGTACGGATGTTCAACATTCTGTGCTGTGTGCGCAGACATGTTGAAGTCCGGTTGCCACCGATGTTGTTCCAGTAGCGTCTGGTATCCAGATCGGACGAGGAATTGACGAAGGTTTTCTACCATGCGCCAAACTTGTGGTCGATTCCGTTCCTCGTAGTTCATGATGTTCATAATGTGGTTTGTCCGTTCGGTGGGATGTAGCATGACGACCTCGATTCCTTGTTGTCGAGCGCGGTCATAACGAGGGTCTTCCCGGATCGGCACTTCCACTTGTGGTAGTTGTGCCATCTGGTCGGCTACTTCGACGTCCATTTGCTCAGGTTGAGCTGCTGGTTCCGCTTGGACTTCAGCCGCTGGTTCCGCCTGATGGCCCTCCGGCTGCTGTTCGGGTGGGACAAAGTTACGTTTCGACTTATTTGTTAAGTCTACCGTAAGTCCGATTCCCGTTTCTCCGGATCCAGTTCGTTTTCCTGGTGGAGCTCTGGTTGGCTCTTTTCCGACTTGACGGATAACTGCTCGTTGCTCTTCGATTCTGTCTCGAAGATCAACAGGACCGATCCTATGTCGAAGGTCATGTCCCGGGAGATCCCTGCTGGGTCGGCGTTGCTGCTGTTGAGCCGTCGGTTGAGTCCGGTTTCCGTGTCGGGGGATCTGCTGGGAAACAGTTGGACGAGCCTGTGTGACAC